GTAATATATATAAGGTTAGATTATAGTAAGTATAATAGGTTATAGTATATATATATATGATATATATATCGTATGTATGTGTGTGTGTGTGTTGTGTTGTGTGTGTGTGCGTATGTGTCTGTGTCTGTGTCTGTGTCTGTGTCTGTGTCTGTGTCTGTCTGTGTGTCTGTGTGTATGCCTGTGTGTCTGTGTGCGCGTATGCGCGTGTGTATATATATATGTGTGTGTAGATTGTTATATACATTTGTGTGTATACACAGGTGTACAATTTTGTCCATTTTGTATAGACATATCCATGTGTTTTATATGCAAACGTACTGGACTTTGAATATATAGTATATGTAGTTGGGTGCAATACGCCTGTGAATGGGTTTGCACTTGTTGTTTTCTTTGTGACTGCCCTCATTCAAAAACGTATCTTCATGTGTAAGCGTATAGCACACATGACAACTACGTAGCTAGGTTACTAACGGACGCTACTTTTTTGTTGATAGTTTAGGCTTGCCTGTCAGATTATTGAATACGGATCACGCACTGCATTTCTCATGTCTTGCGCGTACACTGGCCACACCAGTCTCTGTTTTATCTTCCGTAAATGGCTATACTGCGCGCAGTGAGTGGAGCAAACATAAATCACATGCGAAATTCTATGATAATTGTGTGTAAAGTGTATAAAACTTATGTTTCCATTGATATGATGTGCCCACGTCTTCTGTATGTGCCTGTGCAATGAACAGCGCAAGTAGAAGAGCTCCGCGATCAGAATAAAAAATACGAAGAGGAGCTTGCAGAGATGGCTGACCTCAAGAAACTGCTGGGTGAGATGAGGATACAGCACAACGAACACGTCGATGCCATTGATGCGGTATGTGCGCCCGTGATGGTCCAAGATATTTGTGTATTACGCAAATACCTTCTGTTTCGACAGACCTGCAACAAACTTCTCAAATTGCATTTGTAACGATGAGAGAGAATGTGCAGTAGATTGAATCGTGTCCAATAAAGTATACACACGGGTATAAATTAATATGCCTGCTCGAACCACATCGGGAGGTCCTTTTCAGCGTTTTCTATGACCGACTTGTACTATGTGGTGTCCTTTAATACGGTACCTAGTTCGACAGGTATAGTGTAGTCGTCTTCTGTTCAATGCATAGCCAACCCCTCAGCTTCCTATGTGCTGGATCGGAACCAACATATCCGATATTGATGTGATTGCATACGGGTGACTCGCATCATTGCCGTGCGCAGTTGGTCACTTCAGAATGTAACTTGACTACACGCTCGATTTTATGTTCATTTTTCGGTGATAGTTATGGGGTCAGAATGCACCCACCATTCATTATTGCAGACATAGCGTCATTTTGAATTGTAACCTAACGAATTGTTAACGTTTTCTCTGATAGTGTTGCACTCACTCCGGTTGCTGTTAATGTCTGCAATTTAGTGGGAGAAACACTGCCAGGTCTCACTGGATGAACAATCGCGGGAATTTGAAGAGAAAAGACAGCACCTGGAGAACAGGCGAGAAGAGGAGGATGAAAAAGTAAGTCTGAGATATGCACAATAGTAGGCCAGCCACCAAAAGGTTGTAAACTAAGTCTGTTCACCTACAGGCATGCCGCACAACAACTGTTGTATTCTTCATCGCATGCATGTTTTTTGCGCGCTGCGCGCTTGTTATTGTTGTCAGCCGCATCAGTCCAAGCTCGCAAAATAGTTGATCCACCCAAGTGTGCGACCCTTTTGAACCATGGTACCTTTATCCCTATATGCTACTTGGCGCTGTCACAAATGTCCCTATCACCTCTCTTTCTCTCTCTCACTCTCTCTACGATACCAGCTATATACCTGTATGGAGCAGCTGAGAGCACTTATCCTGCTCTGCTCGAGGAAAGTAGACGGTGGTGCCAACTCAAATTCGGCGATAGTTCAAGCCTTGGACAGCATGGGCACAAGGGGTAAGAGTCACATGCGATCGGATCTTTTCCATGTCAAAGTTACTGCATCGAATTTGGACAGTCTCGTGTTCAAATTAATACTTTTCAATGATGGCTTAAAATTACTTCAGCATGACACGATGATTGTGCAATGTATTCTTTGCCCTAATTTGGATGCCTGTAAAGCTTTTGTACGCAAGTTGAATTGTTGCTCGATTATTTACAATCAGGGTGTTTCCGATTATCTTTTTAGGTGTATGTTGCTGGTCACTACTTTTTTAAGCAATGTTATACTTCATGAGGAGTGGCAGATTATCAATCGCCTAAAAACTAGCCTGTAATGCGATGTTTTGTCCAGATGCCGATACCAGAGTTGAGCAAACCGATCGTATGCTTTCCGAAATTGAAAGGCTCAAAGACTTAATAAGTGAAATGGAGAGGGCCGATGCTGATGCCGGCTGCGCTCAGCAATAACAGCTGCAAATAAACTATTCTGAGTGTAATACGTATCAATAAAACCGCCTTGCCACCTCTATATTATCACAAGAGAACTCATAAAGTGTTTATTGGATATCGTTCAATTAGTACGACATGATGATGCAGGTTAGCGCAATATCTAATCCAGGAGTGATGAACTAGCTTCAGGTTTCACGGCTTTCAGCGGGAGTTGCTGGCTAATCCGAATATGCTAAAAAAATGTGCTGAATGAGCACTATATCAATGGATGTAACAAGCATATCTCTCAGTCACATTTGGTTCACGACTGGATGAATATTTAATTGCTGTCATTACTGAATTCATAACTAATGGGTGGGGCTGTACCTGGCTGTCGGTTGCGTTGCGAATCTCACCACGTTAGATATATTATTTCACCTGTTGTCCCTATACGTTTCGGCAAATATATTTCCACGGACCTATGGGTTTCGCCGCAATATGCAGTCCGAATCAAAACGAAATCGCGCACTTGAAGACTTTATTGTTGCTCTCAGTATAAATTTCATCTATTGTTATCAGCGGAGCTTCGTTGATATTCAGCGTCCAATGAAGGTTTTGGTTGGATCCTTTCGCAGCAACGGTGATCTGCATCGACCTATCGCCTACCTATCCGCTATACTCATTCATTTTGCTTTGGAACTTCAAGAGGTCGGACTCGAATCAATGCACGACGATTAAATCCAGCAGTAGCGTATCTCACAGTCAAAATCATGTATTTGCAGTTCATAGGGATTTGCAGTGCATATGTAGCTCGTTAAAGTATTGTTATTGTACTTTTTTTTGTAAACTGTATACAATGCATGCCTGTCCCCCAACGCTTTCGCGGATCGCAATATGCCATTTCGGCAACCCAGTACACGCCCTTGAAATTTTGAGCGAAGGCCGTTCGCACAACACTACAGCACAATCCAAAATGAACCTTGGGATTGAAGATCTTACCATTGTTTGTGCTTTCCGTTAGTTTTGAGGACAAAAAGCCAAAAATATATTGCGCCGTAATTGTAAAAGATTTGGACTATCGACCAATCTGCAGACTGTTGTAAAACTTTGGAATCTAATAGCCATCTTTAATGACAAACATTTAAGTATATTGTAGAGCAGATGGACGATTTCCTTCGTTTGCAGTATTGTATAAATGATAACACAGACTTGTTCCGTCGATATATGCAAGGAGCACACGTCTCAGATAGGCAATAAACTGAAAATATACAGAAAGCACGCATCGTTGATACGAACCACATCGACATCTACTAAATAATCCAAAAATTATCGCATGTATACTGAAAAAAATATCTTGATCCTTTGAATATATCGATTTGTATTTAAGCATCTACGTACTGGCTGCTTTGCAGAAGCTTTTGTCATTTCACATCTGGATACTCTGGCTTTCCAAAAGAATATATACAATACATATAAACATACACATGATATATATATACATATATATATATATAGAATATGTATGTATGAATAAATGTATGTATGTATGTATGTATATATAGATATATAAATATATATATATACATATATACATATGTACATAGACTTACGCTAACCTGAAGACTAGTTCTGACTAACACTCTTTGGAGCTATACCTGCATCTGCCAGGTGCATCGCGGTATGCTGTGTCAATGCGATGGCCGACCGGCAAACCTTTCCACAACCAGACCATGCGCACTGCAACGCATACCCATTCTTAGCCCCACTCATCTGCGTGTGCTCAGCATTGTCTTTCTCATCCATGTCGAATTGCATTACATGGATGGATACATGCTTACTCAAGGCCGATGTGGTATTGAACCTCTCCCTGCAACCATGCCAGAAGCACGGATGGACACCCTCTCCGTTGCGCATAGAGATTGCGCGTGAATTGTTGATGTGCTGCCAGATGTGCTGCAGAAGGGCACTCCCGGAACGGCAACGCAGCCCACATTCGTCCCATTGGCAGACGCAACTGTCACTCTTCTGCAAAACTTCTCGTTTCAGCACAGGTTCCTTCGGACTACCACGGTAAGCACTTACACGGGGACTGTCTGCTACTGTTGTCTCGGTGCCGCGACGCGATGGCATGTTACTGTCTGTCGCCTTGAACATGACTGGCCCTTTAGCCATGTGCTTGTCAAACATAGCGAAGTTCTGGAGTCTCGCCTTCTCTCGATCAGAGAGTGACTGTGCATTCGCTGATCCGGCGGCCTTTGTTTGCGCCGATGTGATTCCTTGCGGGTGTGGTGGTCTGCTTAATGTGGGTTGCAGTTGAGACGAGCCACCTCGCTGCTGGTGTGATGCATCTTGTCTTCGCTCCCCCAGCCATCGTCTCTCCCCGGTCAGATGATCCGTGCCATCAGGGTTCGAATTCCCCGCACCATTCTTCACTTGCCCCTGAGCCCCCCCATTGGCCATCGCAGTCCCATTCACATTCCCAGCTTCGCCCGCATTTCCCGGCGTACTCGCACGCTGTGGTAATGCCTTGCCCAGTTTCTGTGACTCCGAGTTGTTGTGCGGTCCGCGTCGCTGATCCTCGTCAATCATGTCCTGGTATGCGGCACCACTACTACCCATCTGCCTCTCGTCCTCTTGCCTGCGATATACCTCCTGGTGGCGTCGATAAGCTTCGTCGTTTATAAGCCGGGGACCTTCATCTTTCTCCACGAATTTCCCTGCAGTTCGCTCATTCACAAGGTCTTCCCTGTCCACGCGCGAGCGAAAACCATCTATTTGCGACCGACTCGCCTGTCGCAAATCTTGGGCATCTTGCTGCTGGTGCAGTCTACTCATCTCCTGCAGCTCGCGTTCTCGTCGCAAAATATCCAGCTGTCGCATTTTAGTCTCTTGGCGCAAAAGTTCTATCTCCTGCCTTCGCTGGTACTCGAGCTCGCGCAGGCTCCGTTGCCTCTCTTGGCGTGACTCCGCATCGCTATACAGCTCGTTGGGGCTCAACCGCCCCTGCTTATACGGTTGTCTGGGAGATGTGGAATGCGGCCTGCGTGGTGGGAGAAATGCTCTCTCCTCGCCAAGCTCGCCAACCCTCGCAAAAGACTTGTTGGCACGGTCGCGGTCGAACTCATCCCCGTCGGCCGTATCCAGCCGACCGCCTCTGTCTGCAGGGTCGGAATGATGGAAGCCAAGCCCATTCCCACGCATCTCCCCCCGCACATCGTCACGCATACTGCCGTGCATGGCGTCAATATCATCATCTCGCCTGCCAGCGATTCTGCTGGCTGGTTCACGAGCACCGGGTGGGTGTGGATGTGTTGGCACCTTAGCATCGTAGATGTCTAGCTCTGCATATTTGCTACTCTCCGTGGTCTCGCGTGTCGCAGCGTATTTGTCACCAGCCGACATACCACCCAGGGCGCGCTCGCGGACAGAGTGCGGGTCAAACCCAGCACCAGCGTGCACCTTATGGGTATATCTCTCCTCAGGCTCTAACTTGCCACGCGTGTTCTCAAACGGATTGTAGATCGATTCCTCTCTTCGGATGCCCGGTGCCAGAGTCATCACTTCCACCGGTTTCGCTTGTGGCTCGAACTTGCGGCGATTCGGCGCTTGCCGTGCGGTCAGGTGCGCTTGCTGGTTAGCGTGCATATCTCTGTCTAAATAGAAATCAACACCTCGAGGAAGAGCATCCTCACCACGCCTCGCATACATCTCTTCATTCCTAGGATACTCGTCATCGCGTCCCGTGTATGACTTTCCTCCATCCCTGCCCCCATCGAACAACGATTGGTTCAGTCTGCTGTCTGGATAACTGTCCAGTTCTCGCATGCCACCATGTCGATACGGCGCCTCGTCAAGACGTTCGCGATCGTTCATACGGTCTCCTGTACGGTCCTCTCCCCATCCTTGCAGTCGGTCAACACGTGCTTGCACGCGATCGTATACGCCATCCCCAGGATACCCTTTCATACCACCCATGAAAGCATCGCTCGCGTCGCCGTGCTTGAACTCGTTGTGTTGCTTCGCCCAATTGCTGGTCGTGTCCTTGGCAGAAATCGAGCGCCTCACAAAAGGCTCTCGGATCCTGTTACCGAGAACGAACTGAGGCGAATGTGATCTTTTTTGGGGAAGGCTGCCAACCGAGACGTGCCGAACAGTACTGCGAGGCTCCCACGGTTTGCGATGGCCTTTTGCAACCAACTGTGCCGCACCCTCCACTCCTCGCTCAGTACTCCCGGATTTTCCTCCACCTCCTCTAATTGTGTTCACATTTGAGTCCACTCCTCTCATGCCCGAGTCCAAGGCACTGTACTTGCTACTCGCCAGGACACCCATGTCTCGCGGAGAGCCGACTATGCGATCGCCGAGTGGCGAACGATTCCGTTCAACTTGGCCGGGATAATACTCTGGTCTATTCACCCGATCGTAATGCTGCTGCTTGAGCTCTCGCTGATACGGTGACTGAGGTCTTCTCTGCCCATCGCCTCTGTTATGGCTGTACTTGGTGGCACACGGCGAGGTTACGGTCGGTGACCGGCCACGCTCCCGGCTATGCATCCGGTGGCTCCCAGTCATGTTTCCCCTGCCCATCTGCTCACCGGCGAGATGGCGTTCGCGATCTCTGTGGAACTTTCCCCCCTGCCTATCCATAGCATCCTCGCCCTTCGCAGCCATTAGCGAGGCTGCCATATGCGGAGACGTGGTTAAGGCACGAGGTTGATGAGCTGATAACAATGGTGGACTTGGAGTCCGTTCCGACTTTGTGTTCGATGCCGTCTGGTCAGCCAGCTTCGTGCCGCGCTCTCGATTAGATGGATCGTAATCCAGAAAAGACCAACCTTTGTCCGCGATACGTGCTAATGGCGGTGACATCGGGGGTGACACCTTTCTGACGAAAGTAAACGGCGGGCAGTTCACCTGATTCTGCCTACTGCTGTCCTGCACTTCTTCATACCGGTCACCGAGTATGTGATCAATTTCTGGATTGTACTGGGACATGTCGGATTTCTGCTCCCTCCTCAGCGAGCCATCCGGGCCCGCACCCAAGCTGTTGTGCGACTCGACGTGTTCGCGTGACTGAGACTCAGGTACGTGTTCGCGTGACTGAGACTGAGGTACGAGTTCGCGTGCCATTTCCTCTGCGCTGCCATATATTGTCCTCTGCAGTCTTTGTTCGCCAGCAGAACTCGTTCCCGGGAGTCGGGCCACTCGCACGTGCCCGTCCATCTCTAGCTCGTACTCCCAGTCTCCGCTCTGCCGTACTACATGACTTTTCCGGCCTTCCATGATATTCTGCATCTTATCGCCTGCCGGGTAGAGCAGTTTCTGCATCTTATCGCCTGCCGGGTAGAGCAGTTTCTGCATCTCCTCATTTGATTGGGTCCTTTTTGTCGTCACCTGGGGTGACAATATCTTTGGGACCATCGGGTCTAGCGCCGATACACTTCGACCCTTGGCCGAGACGGTACGTTTCTTGCCAGCCTCGCCCGAGCCTAAAGTGCCTGAGGCTTTCCTTTCGCTCAAGTCCCGCATTGACTTGGAGATATTCTTCTTGCGGGGTTTGCTCTTCTTCTTGCCCAGGGCTGGGTGTTTGGGTGTGATAACCGCGGTGGGTGCCTCAGCCTGCTCGAGTAAATCCTGTTCCACCTCCCAGCTTTCTTTGCGCAGAACAAAGTCCTCTGGTTCAAGGGGAACGGTTGAGTTGCTCACAGACCGGTCGGGGAAAGGCTTACTGATCTTCGGAAGGTTCGGTGACACGGCATTACTTGCTTCCAATGTTGAAGCCGAGGCGGTGGATGGTATCAATTTGGTGTCCATAGGCGGTTTGCCTTTGTTCAGGCCCGCTCCCATTGTATTAGTGTTCTGGTTTTTCTTCAGAGTAAAGGGCTTCGCTCCGTTCAACGAGAGAATGGCGCCCCTCCCAGCCTTGCCGTTGCCAGCCCCAGCGGTCGCTTTCGCCGTACTCTCGTCCTTTTTCGCTTTCTTCTTCACACGCGCATCGCTAATACTCGATGGTTTTTGACCGACAGTCGCCTCGCGACGGCCCTTTGTGTCCTCTTTCTCGATGTCTTGCATGCCCTCCATCTCGTGCATTTTCTGTATACACTGCAACATATTCACCTGACGTATCGCTTCGCTGTCTCGTGGTGTGCGCTTCATCTGTTGCGATCGTACTTCTTCGTCGCGCACATGCTGCATTCTGGATGCCTTCTCAACGTCTCGCCAACGCTCCTCGTTCCATCTCATTCTCGTGTCAGCAGGGATGGTATTCATTGGTTCTGTACGTGGTACATCCGACCTGCCGTGTGTTCCCTCCGGATCTAGTCTCTCCATCTCGCGTCGCCGTAAAATGTCCAGCACAAGAGCTGTCTTCGCAGAATCCTGCAGGCCGTCCGAGGAATTTCTATCGACCTCCTGAATACCGCCTCTACTCGCCATCTGCAACGTCCCGTAATCTTGCTGTCGCTCCATAGCATGTTCTCTCTCGGTGCCGTGTACCTCATCTCTGTAAGGCCTACTATCGAAACGCGACCCTTTCCCGCCATAGTGTGCACTAGACGGGCCGAAAACTCGCTCGAAGCCCCGGTAATCTTCGCCAACTCGGGCCCTTTCCGAATCTCGCAGCCAATCCTTGTTTGCGTTTCCGTGTGACGTTTTCTCCGGAACCGGCAGGTTTTCAATGTTCTGCATTTCCTCAAAGTCCCGTAGCTTGTCGGCCCCTAGTACTCTCTCCAGGTCACTCGGACGGTATCCATCTGACACCGAAGGTTTCTCAAGTCTGCGCGAGTTGTCTGCGGCCTCTCCGGATCTTTTTGCCGAGTGTGGCCGTTCTGAATCTCGCTCGTTCAGTACGAGTTCGGTGATTGCCCTCGCGTCAAATATATTTTTCGGCTTTAGCGCACCGTGTGCATTGTCAAATCTCTGCATTTTCTCCGACGCGCGGGCTGTTTTTAAAGCATGCATTGGCTCCGTGACCTGCATTTGTCTAATGCCATACATCTGGGACCTTACCTCTTCTATGTCATACTGTCCTCTACTTTGCGTTCCGCCTCCGTATTTCTCCCTCCCGCTTAGTATAGATTTTGCACTTTTGTCACCTTTATGATCCATATCCGACGGTATTGAATTGGCAGACCGCATCTCATGTATCCGCTCTATACTATGCATTCTCTCGACTTCCCGTAGTTTGTGCATGCTATCGTGGATCTGCTTGGAGCGTCCATGATCCGTATCTTGCCATGCTTCCCTGGCAGCTGCTCGGTGTGTAGAACGAATCGGCTCCTGTGTGCGATACGACTTTCCTGGCCCCTCATTGCGCGCGACATCTTGCGCGTTCTCTATATCCTGAAGTGCATCTAGAGCCTTTAATCTTTCGATACTACTAGATGTCTTGTAGGTCGGCTCTTGTCGCCTCATTGATCCCAAGTGCATACGATCCGGACTATGCTCCGCACTGTAGCTCTGAACACGCGCGGCATTGCTAAAATCAACCGTATCCTGACTCCTGCACTTTTCAAGGCTGATCACTTGTAATGCCTTCGCATCGACCATATCCTGTGTATTCTGTGTGCCTTGCTGAGAGTCCCCCTTTTGCATCTTGTGTGATTCCTCAGCCAGAGTATCGCTGAGCGCTCGCTTCCTCTCTGAAGACTGTCTTTCTGCAATCTGCTCCTTTGGACCCAATTTTGAAATTTGGGTCGAGAGTTGACCTATGTGTGATTCGAGTGGCTTCTCAGTCTTGTCGTATTGTGTGTTATCTTCGACATACTCTCGTTTGATCTGCTCGGACTGTCCTCCCTCCGTACTCAGTGATTTTCGATCAATTTTAAGGCTCCCACGTGTGCTCAATAAATTTGAAACACGCACATTGATTTCATTTCCTCTTTGCGCGTGGTCAGAATGCTCCGCCGAATTATCCTCTATACTATGCAATTTGTCAATATCCTGCAATTTCAAAAGGGAATCCCTTTGCAGCATGGCCTCTTTGAAATCAAGATTAATCTTACCCTGATCACTATGGTCTCGTACGCTTTCAAATTCGGGCTTGCCCGCTCCATTTGGCATACTCTGGTCACTTTGCTCGTTCTCTGGCTCCAGCGAACACTCCGTTACCGCAGCCTTCTGCATGGATGTCGGCAACAGCTGACTTCTAAGCCCTGCCCCTGTGCTAGTCCCGTGCGCATTCTCTTGGCTCTTTATCTTTTTCTCTGCGCTCTTAATCTCGCCATCGAGTTCCGCCTTAACACCTTCGGGCGATGCCTCAGGAGCATTAGATTTGCCGCCAAATTTCTTGTCGTCCACAAGACCAGGTTGCCCAGTGCACTGCACGTCGACTGACAGATATACACTTCCAGCATCACCAAATACCTGCTGTGCAGACTTTTCGGTCACACCTATCACCTCCTCGCCTATAGCAGTCGGTGATGATGTGTCCTCTACAGTATCGAGATTCTTCTCTGTATGTTCTCCGGCGATAGAGTAATCCGGTTTAGCCGCCACATGTTCTTCCTCCCTCTGTAACATATTGTGGTTCTCTGATGTATGCTCCTTCTCTTTGCCGTCAGATCTATTTTCTGTATCCTGCGACTTACCAATGTTGTGTGCTACTTTTTCTTTGGTACGCTCCGCCATCTTCAGCTCGACACTACTGGACTGGTCATGTTGTCGACTCACTTGTGTGACATCCCGATGGGCAGTTTCGGTCTGTTGCGGACTATTGTCGACATCTACGACTCGTTCCTCCCCTGGCTTTATTTTACTTGCTGCTGCATTGATAGAGTTTGACAAATTTTCCACCGGATTGTCATCTGTTTTGAATGTTGAGTGATTAAGAAATAGGACAGAAATATGAACATCCGATTAATGACTAAAATCTTTTCATAAGTTGATTTGACAGAATCTCCAAGAACCCGTGATGCGGCAGACGGTTTAAATAAGAAACTAGATTCACCCTCTCTATCGACGAAGACCAAAAAAAAAAATGAAGAAGCACAACTTAGAAAACAGACCTGAGGGGTGCCGGTCATCCTGATCACCGACAGCATCCTGAGTTTCCGAGGGGCAGTCTTGATAATGTAATAGTTCTCGCCAATCATGGTCCTGATTCATATAGAATTTGGATGCTTAAAAATGAGCATCCAGAACCAAAATGACCGCCTGTGCAGGACGTGGAATATTACTTCACGAAATATAAAACAGTGTAACGGCCGTATTTTTAACGATTTCTAACTTTGAACGTCTAAATTAAAAGAATTACAAAAATATTTCTGGCAATTTGACTCTTACATATATGTATATATAGATTAACAAGGAACATTCCTTTTATGTAAACATAAAAATATATTCGAATACATACTTATATATTATATGTATTTATATATATATATATATATATATATATA